TGGCGCTGCTGGCGGCCGTCTCGGAGCTGCGGGGGGAGGGGGCGGCGCCGCTGCTGCCGCGGGCGCTGCCCGTCCTGCAGGGGGCGCTGCGGCCCCCGCCCCCGCCGGTGAGTACTGGTTTGTACTGGTTTGTACTGGTTTGTACTGGTTTGTACTGGTTTGTACTGGTTTGTACTGGTTTGTACTGGTTTGTACTGGTTTGTACTGGTTTGTACTGGTTTGTACTGGTTTGTACTGGTTTGTACTGGTTTGTACTGGTTTGTACTGGTTTGTACTGGTTTGTACTGGTTTGTACTGGTTTGTACTGGTTTGTACTGGTTTGGGGGCTGGGGTTACTGGTTTGGACTGGGAGGGGACTGGGATGAACTGGGAGGGGACTGGGAGGGGATTAATGGGTTAAAAATGGGGGAAAACGGGAGAAAAATGGGGAAATGGGGATTTGGGGTTACTGGTTTGTACTGGTTTGTACTGGTTTGGGGGCTGGGGTTACTGGTTTGGACTGGGAGGGGACTGGGACGAACTGGGAGGGGATTTGGGGGTTTGGGAAGGAGTTAAAGGGTTAAAAATGGGGGAAAACGGGAGAAAAATGGGGAAATGGGGATTTGGGGTTACTGGTTTGGACTGGGAGGGGACTGGGACGAACTGGGAGAGGACTGGGAGGTGATTAAAGGGTTAAAAATGGGGGAAAATGGGGCAAAAACGAGGAAAAATGGGATTTTTTTTATACTGGTTTATACTGGTTTATACTGGTTTGGGGTCTGGAGTTACTGGTTTGGACTGGGAGTGGTTTATACTGGTCCGTACTGGTCCATACTGGTCCATACTGGTCCGTACTGGTTTATACTGGTCCCTGTTGCCCCCAGCCCCCCTCCGACGCCCCTGATTGGCTGCTGAATCTCCATGACGACGCCGAGGGGGCGGAGCCTATGGAGGACGACAGCGAGGAGTGGGCGGAGCCTCAGGAGTGAGTGGGCGTGGCCACAGCAGAGTGGGCGTGGCTCGGTGCTCCAGCCACGCCCATTTATGGTCATGCCACGCCCCCCGCAGGGTGGAAATGGGCGGAGCTTTCCCCGGATTGGCCGAGGCGGCGCTGGGGGCGCTGGGGGAGCTGGCGGAGAACTGCTTTACTGGTTTCCCTTCCAGCGCCCTCCCCCGTCCACCAGGGGGCGCTGCAGGCCCTCCTGAGCGGGCTCCGGGCCGACCCGGAAGTGGGCGGGGCCCTGGGGGCGGTGGGCGGGGTCGGGCGGATCCTGCAGCCCCCGGGCCACGCCCACAAGGAGTGGCTGGAGCCCATTGGACGAGCCCTGTGTGACGTCATCACCGGGGAGGTGAGGGGGCGGGGCTTGACTGTGAAGGGGGCGGAGCTTAAATAATAGAGGTGGGAGGAGCTTAAAATGAGGTGGGCGGGGCTTCAGGAGGTGTTGAGGGGTTGTGGGCATGGCTTAAGAGCAGTGGGTGTGGCTTAAAGCTTTGTGGGCGTGGCTTATTGTGGGTTTGTGTGTTGTGGGCGTGGCTTAAGGGGTTTGACCGATGGGGGTGGGCGTGGTTTGGGGTGGGCGTGGCTCAGTAAGCCCCTCCCCCTCGCAGATCGCCTGCCTGAGGTCGCGGGGGGACGGCGACGAGGACGAGGTGGGGCTCCCAGTTCAGACCAGTTTCATCCCAGTTTGATTCCAGTTTGATCCCAGTCCCTCCCAGTTCCCTCCCAGTGACCTCCCAGTATAAACCAGTTCATCCCAGTCCCCCCCAGTTCCCTCCCAGCCAGTCCCTCCCAGTATAACCAGTCCCCCCCAGACCTCCCAGCGCGCCGAGCTCCGCGAGACCGCCTCCGATTGGCTGCCGGAGCTGGGCGTGGCCATGGCCCGGGAGGGCGTGGCCGGCACCGGGGGGGGCGTGGCCTTCCCACCCCGCCTCTTCCGCCGCCTCCTCCCCTCCCTATTGGCCGCCCTGGCCGACCCCGCCCACCCGGGGGCGCGCTCGTGGGCGGCGGCCGTGATTGGCCAGCTGGGCCACGCCCTGGGCGCGGAGGCCACGCCCTTCCTGCCGGATCTGGGGCCCGCCTTCCGATTGGCCGCCGGCGACCCCGACGACGAGGTCAGGGCCAACGCCTTCTACGCCATTGGCCGGATCGGGGAGGCCGTGGGACACGCCCACCGGGAGTATCCGCCAATCGCAGGGGAGGGGAGGGGCTTGGGGGGGGATAAGCCACGCCCACCGCCCTTAAACCCCGCCCACCGCCCTTAAACCCCTCCCATATCATTGTACATATGCCTAAGCCACGCCCACCACCTTTAAGCCACGCCCACCACCCTTAAACCCCGCCCACCGCCCTTAAACCCCTCCCATATCATTGTACATATGCCTAAGCCACGCCCACCACCTTTAAGCCACGCCCACCACCCTTAAACCCCGCCCACCGCCCTTAAACCCCTCCCATATCATTGTACATATGCCTAAGCCACGCCCACCACCTTTAAGCCACGCCCACCACCCTTAAACCCCTCCCATATTTCCATAAATAGACTTTAGCCCCGCCCACCAACCTTAAACCCCTCCCATATTTTAATACATGAACTTAAGCCACGCCCCCACCTTTAAACCACGCCCACCGCCCTTAATCCACGCCCACAAGGTTTAACTCCTCCCATATTTCTATAAATGGATTCTAGCCCCGCCCACCATCCTTAAACCCCTCCCATATGTCTGTAAATAGAGTTAAGCCACGCCCACCACCTTTAAGGCACGCCCACCACCCTTAAGCCACGCCCACAAGGTTTAACTCTCCCGTATTTCCATAAATGGACTTTAGCCCCACCCACCACCCTTAAACCCCTCCCACATGTCTGTAAATGGAGTTAAGCCACGCCCACCACCCTTAAACCCCTCCCATATTTCCATAAATAGACTTTAGCCCCGCCCACCAACCTTAAACCCCTCCCATATTTTTATACATGAACTTAAGCCACGCCCCCACCTTTAAACCACGCCCACCGCCCTTAAGCCACGCCCACCAAGGTTTAACTCCCCCGTATTTCCATAAATTTACTTTAGCCCCACCCACCACCCTTAAACCCCTCCCACATGTCTGTAAATATAGTTAAGCCACGCCCACCACCCTTAAACCCCGCCCACCGCCTTTAAACCCCGCCCATTCCGCTTAGGCCACGCCCACAAGTCCCTGAAATGTCTGAGGCCACGCCCAGTGCCCATAAGCTCCTCCCACCGGCCTTGAACCCCACCCACATTTATTTAAATGGGCTCAAGCTCCTCCCACGCTCGAAGCCACGCCCACAATTCCATAAAAGGGCATGGGCTCCTCTCATTCACTTAAACTCCGCCCACAGCTTTTTACAGGCTCTAAGCCCCGCCCACAAGCCTTAAACCCCGCCCACACTCCCTTTAAATGGTTCAGACCACGCCCACCACACCTAAACCCCGCCCACAACTCATTACAGGCTTTAAACCCCGCCCACTTTCTAGTAAAAGGCATCAAGCCCCGCCCACCACTCTTAAACCACGCCCACATTATCTTAAAAGGGTCTAAACCCCGCCCACCACCCTTAAACCCCGCCCACATTTCCATGAAGGGCTTTAAACCCCGCCCACCACCCTTAAACCCCGCCCACATTATCCTAAGGGTCTTCAAACCCCACCCACCCCCCTTAAACCCCGCCCACATTTCCATAAAGGACTTTAAACCCCGCCCACCACCCTTAAACCCCGCCCACCACCCTTAAACCCCGCCCACATTATCTTAAAATGTGTTAAGCCACGCCCACCACCCTTAAGCCACGCCCACATTCTCTTAAAAGGCTTAAAACCCCACCCACCACCCTTAAGCCCCGCCCACCACCACAAGCCACGCCCCCACTCCTTAAAACCCCCCCAAACCCCGCCCCCACTCCCATATAAGGTCAAGCCCTGCCCCATTCCCATATAAGGACCTCAAACCCCCTCCAGCTCCCCAAGCCCCGCCCCTTTTTTGGGGCCCGCCTTCCGATTGGCCGCCGGCGACCCCGACGACGAGGTCAGGGCCAACGCCTTCTACGCCATTGGCCGGATCGGGGAGGCCGTGGGACACGCCCACCGGGAGTATCCGCCAATCGCAGGGGAGGGGAGGGGCTTGGGGGGGCTAAGCCACGCCCACCGCCCTTAAACCCCGCCCACCACCCTTAAGCCCCTCCCATGTTTTAATACATGAACTTAAGCCACGCCCCCACCTTTAAACCACGCCCACCACCCTTAAACCCCGCCCACCGCCCTTAAGCCCCTCCCATGTTTTAATACATGAACTTAAGCCACGCCCCCACCTTTAAACCACGCCCACCACCTTTAAACCCCGCCCACCGCCCTTAAACCCCTCCCATATTTCTATACCTGAACTTAAGCCACGCCCCCACCTTTAAACCACGCCCACCGCCCTTAATCCACGCCCACAAGGTTTAACTCCTCCCATATTTCTATAAATGGATTCTAGCCCCGCCCACCATCCTTAAACCCCTCCCATATGTCTGTAAATAGAGTTAAGCCACGCCCACCACCTTTAAGGCACGCCCACCACCCTTAAGCCACGCCCACAAGGTTTAACTCTCCCGTATTTCCATAAATGGACTTTAGCCCCACCCACCACCCTTAAACCCCTCCCACATGTCTGTAAATGGAGTTAAGCCACGCCCACCACCCTTAAACCCCGCCCACCGCCTTTAAACCCCGCCCATTCCGCTTAGGCCACGCCCACAAGTCCCTGAAATGTCTGAGGCCACGCCCAGTGCCCATAAGCTCCTCCCACCGGCCTTGAACCCCACCCACATTTATTTAAATGGGATCAAGCTCCTCCCACGCCTGAAGCCACGCCCACAATTCCATAAAAGGGCATGGGCTCCTCTCATTCACTTAAACTCCGCCCACAGCTTTTTACAGGCTCTAAGCCCCGCCCACAAGCCTTAAACCCCGCCCACACTCCCTTTAAATGGTTCAGACCACGCCCACCACACCTAAACCCCGCCCACAACTCATTACAGGCTTTAAACCCCGCCCACTTTCTAGTAAAAGGCATCAAGCCCCGCCCACCACTCTTAAACCACGCCCACATTATCTTAAAAGGGTCTAAACCCCGCCCACCACCCTTAAACCCCGCCCACATTTCCATGAAGGGCTTTAAACCCCGCCCACCACCCTTAAACCCCGCCCACATTATCCTAAGGGTCTTCAAACCCCACCCACCCCCCTTAAACCCCGCCCACATTTCCAGCCCAAAATCAGCCCCAAAAACACCCAAGATCACCCCAAAATTACCCAAATTCAGCCCAAAATTCACCTCGAAATCAGCCCCAAATTCAGCCCAAAACCACCCAAATTCAGCCCAAAGTCACCCCAAAAATACCCCAAATTCAGCCCAAAATTCACCCCAAAAAAATCCCCAAATCAGCCCAAAATTCATCCCAAAACCACCCAAATTCACCCCAAAAACACCCCAAATCAATCAAAAATACCCAAAAATTCAACCCAAAATTCACCCCAAAAATATAGCCCAAAATCAGCCTCAAAAACACCCAAATTCACCCCAAAAATACCCAAAAATGCAGCCCAAAATTCAGCCCAAAATTCAGCCCAAAATCATCCCAAAATTCAGCCCAAAACACTCAAAATAAGCCCAAAAATACCCAGAAATACATCCCAAAATCACCCCACAATCTGCCCCAAAAACACTCAAATTCACCCCAAAAATTCATCCCAAAATTCACCCCAAAATTCACCCCAAAGTCACCCCAAAAATACCCCAAATTCAGCCCAAAATTCACCCCAAAATCCGCCCCCAAAACACCTAAACTCACCCCAAAAATACCCAAAAATACATATCTGCCCCAAAAACACTCAAATTCACCCCAAAAATTCATCCCAAAATTCACCCCAAAATTCACCCCAAAGTCACCCCAAAAATACCCAAAATTCAGCCCAAAATTCACCCCAAAAACACCCAAAATAACCCCAAAAATACCCAAAAATTCATCCCAAAATTCACCCCAAAATCAGCCCCAAAAACACCCAAAATCACCCCAAAAATACCCAAAATGCATCCCAAAATCACCCCAAAAGTACCCAAAATTCACCCCAAAATTCACCCCAAATTCAGCCCAAAATTCACCCCAAAATCCGCCCCCAAAACACCTAAACTCACCCCAAAAATACCCAAAAATACATCCCAAAATCAGCCCCAAAAACACCCAAAATCACCCCAAAAATACCCAGAAATTCAGCCCAAAATCAGCCCCAAAAACACCCAAATTCACCCCAAAAATACCCAAAATTCATCCCAAAATTCACCCCAAAAATATTCTAAAAAATCACAAAATCCCCTAAATTCACCCCAAAATTATCCCAAAAATTCTCAAAAGAATCCCCCCAAAATCAGACAAAAAATCCCCAAATTCAGCCCCAAAACAACCAAAAAATCCCAAAAATTCACCCCAAGAATATCCCTAAAAATTCCCAATAAATCCCCAAAAATCCCAAATTTTCCCCCTAAATTCATCATTTTCTCCCAAAATTCCCAAATTTTCCCCCGAAATCGCCCAGATTTTCTCTCCAAAAATCCAAATTTTTCCCCAAAAACCCAATTTTCCCCCCAGAATTCCCAATTTTTTTCCTAAAATTCCCATTTTTTCCCTCAAAAAACCCCAATTTTTCCCCAAAATTCCCATTTTTTCCCTCCAGAAAACCAAATTTTCTCACAAAAATTCCCAAATTTTTCCTAAAAATCCCCTTAAAATTCCAATTTTTTTTCCCAAAATTCCCAAATTTTCTCTGCCAAATTTCCTCCAAAATTCCCCAATTTTCCCTCCAAAAATCCAAATTTTCTCACAAAAATTCCCAAATT